ATTACCATCACAAGTTCTAACGGAAGTATTTCGAGATGAAATTAATGCAAAATCAAAAAAAAAAATTCTCATTAAAAATATTAGAATAACTCCAACTGTAATCAAAACTGTCAAAACAACAAATGGGTTTATTTTTTGTTAAAATAGTATCGGGTATTAAGGCAAATTTTGACACTTTTTTCCTTTTCTTTGCAGTCTCTTTGTTATTTCAACAAATATTTCATATTATGAAGTTAGAATTTTTTTTAATAATTGCAGAAGTTCAAAAATGACATGATTATTAGCATTAGTTTTACTTTGCGTTAAATGTTATGTTTTTTATTGTCCTATCTTCATATACTTATTAAGTCATTGTAATTAGTAATAATAGAAATAAATACGGGAACTGAGAGTAATAAAGATGAAGTGAGTAATGAATATTTTTTAAGTGACTGTGAGGCTATTATTTAAGTAAACTTTATTCTTTGACAAATCTGAWCATCAAAGTACAAGGATTAAAATTTTATTCAATGTCACTGAGAGTATTGGTCATGAGATTATCTAATATATCGTTTTTATCCTTCAGATTTTTGAAGGTCTTATCATCACGAGATGATAATCTGAGTACACATGTTTGGATCATGGTTAATTTATTATCAAAATTTAATTTTGGCTTCATTTTTAGTTCTGATAAGTTTATTTAAATTTTTCCCACTTTAAATCTCTAGTCGTAGTCAAAATTGTAACATTGAATATAAATTATGGAATGTATCATAAATGTGATAAGATAATTGGATTGTTGCAAAATTTTTCAGTATTTGTCAGTTGATATGGAACAAGATTATAGCTATGAATAATAAGTTTTTCTGCTAAGAATAATAAGTTAATAACATATCTCTTCTCTATTTTTAAATTCTCATCAAAAGTAAAACCAGATTCTAATTCCGAAACGGTACTATCAAAGGTCAAGATGAACAGTTAAAAAGATTAAAAATAAAATTGGTTATCACGAAGTGATTTATTTGTGTCAAATATGTCTAAAATTAAATTGGAAATTGAAAGGAGAAAGTTTTAATAATTTTGAAGTCGAAAATCGACCAAAATTTCCACAAAAATAGAAAAAAACGAAAACTTTAAAATCGAAGCAAGAAAATGGATAAAACGATGAATCAGGTTTGAAAAAAATTGAATTTCACAAATCTGGGCGACTTGACATTTGATATGTGACTAACTGGTATATCCATAACCAATTTGCCGATAAAATTTCCATTCAAGATTGGTTATTTTTTAAGAAAAATCTCAATGTCTCATTGAAGGAAGGGAATTAATTCATTGAAATTTTTATTCTATCTGATCTGAATGCATTTATTAGGTAAATTGTGAAGTTCCAAAAATAAAATATTGAGCSTTGAATTACTATKATTTTCAGTAACTGTATTTAAAAAAAAGTATTATTAATCACTATCAGGATCAGGTTTGGCAACAAACAAACAAAATGTTAATTAACAAATCATGTGTGTCAAATTTGTATATTTAAAAAGATTTCAATTGCAGCAATCATGACTTGAAAAAATTCTGAATCACCTGACGAGTGTGCATAGTTTCAACAAGACATAACAATTCAATGATAGCGCATTACTAGAATTTTTATAACAACAATTCATACATTTTATATCAAAGGCGTGTCAAGCCTATTCCAACAATTATCTAATATGATTATGATTAGTAAAATAAGCGTTTACTAATTAGACACTTAACTTGTTAAAGTCTAGTTAATTCCTAAAACTAAGTTATGTTTACACACGAAGTAAAATRCCCRGATTGATAAAACGCCATTGTTCGATGAATTAATTACATTCGTATAATTTAACTGCTATCACTGAAACACTTGACAAATAATCTAAAACTGGGCACAATCAACTTTCATTTCTTTGTATAACCATTTACAAAGGAAACGCGGTTCAGATTAAAAGAAATTTAAAACATATGAAGCAACTGCATTTCTTTTCTGAGGATCAAGTGTCAATTTTCGTTTTATGGCTTTCTGTTGTCATGTAGTTTTCGCTATCATTTTTTAAATTACTGAACGTGTCAAGGTTAATGTCTTATTATCACACCACCCGGACCTTGCGAAAATCAATTAGAAATGTCTCACAATTACGAGTTATTAGGAGAATTCCTATTTTAATCTGAGTGGAAATCGTAGGAGGATGTGATAAAAACGTCTGGGACCCAAAAATCGCTCTCAGAAAGTTTTTTATGTAATAACAAATTGACATAACATTATATATTGAGTCTTGTCGGCAAATTTTATAAATCATGTGTCTAAGGTAAAAAGSTTGCCGGTMAKCTATTTTTAATTTGACAATATAATTGTGACTTAAAATATAATTTAATTGAATTAACGATACCTTATTAACATAATTGTATGTTATTTGTAAAACAACATTAGCAAAAACCGTAAAAAATATCATAATAGTGGAGGCGCACTCGTAACATGTAAATCAGAAATTTCTTTTTTAGAAGGAAATGTCCAAACGTAAATAAATATTAAATGGAGTCCATGGAGTGTTTTATTTGTTTTGTATGTGGGCTTAAATATACCCTTCGGTTGACTTATGATAATTTTAAATAACTGGAACGAATACGTAATTGATCACTTGATCAAATTTTTTAAATTACTTAAAAGAAGTCACATTTGATTACGTTTATCGCGATTTGTTCTTAGAAGCAACATAATTATAAACAAAATTAACCTTCTCTTTGAAACGAAAGCAATATTTGCTAGGTCACTGTAGCAAAATTACACGGAATTTAGATTAAATAAACAAAAACACCGCGAATCAAACTAATTTCCAATAACGTTTCAAATGTAACWGTTTTCTTTGATGTTTTCCGAGTAAAATAAAACTACAATGCATTTCATTACAATATTTTACAATTATTAATATTTAAGTCTAATATGTGTTTTAACTCAGATTATTATGTCTAGTTTTCCTAGTCATATTCCTATTTTCTATGCATTTTTTTCTCAACAAAATCCGGTACTTCTATCAAAACATCAAAAACAAAGTTGAATTTGAGTTTTTACTCTTATTTTTAACCCCTAACTTTTAACTCATATTTTCCCAAATCATCATTTTTTTAGGAAAATGAGTCGATTTTCAAGTTTTAGTCGTTGAAGTTTGTTGAGTTTGAAAAATAACTCATTGAAGTCTTTTCAAAAACACAAAAAATTGAGAAAATGACCTGTTTTTAAGCCAATTTTATCTATTGAAACATGGAAATTACCCTGTTTTTTATGATCTTTTTTAATGTTTTTGAATTGGGCCACTTTAGTACACATATTAATACGGTTTCGTCAAAAGAAATTTAAAAACACTTCATGAAAATCACTTTTTATAACATACTTAACATAATTGTTAACGAAAATATTTGTGCTCTTATTGGAGATTGGAAAATCATGACTTTATCAAAACTCAATAACAAACTATTACACAAATAGGCTTGCAAAAAAGCATTTCAAAATTTCTTAAATAAATGCTTAAATTAAAAAAATGTCAATCGAGACTTTTTTAAAACATCGAGTTGCAAAAGACAGTTGAGGAGACTAAGAAAGTGTCGATGTACTAGATTAAAAATTTCTAGACTTGCAAAATAACATTTAAAAATTTCTTAAAGAAAGGCTTAAATTAAAAAAAAAAATGTCAATCCAGACTTTTCAAAACATCCTGTTACAAAAGACAGTTGGGGAGACTAAGAAAGTGTCAGATGTACTGGATTAAAAAATTTCTAGACTTGCAAAAAACCATTTAAAACTTTCTTAAAAAAAAATGCTAAAATTTAAAAAAATGTCAATCGAGACGTTTTTAAAGCTTCCATCAAATATTGAAATTAAAACACTGTTTATATCACCCTTTTGACTTTTTCAAATCACCCGCAACGTTTATCACCATATTACCGAGCTTTTCGTTTGATTTTCTTGAAGAGTGTGAAACACATTGACGCGAAAAGTCAACAATTGTCAGAAGTGTCAGATTGAATGATTGAAATCCAACGCACTCTTGGTCAAGGTTTTTTTAAACGTAAAATTTAGTTTTTTTCAGCGATCCATAGTTTTTTGATTAAATTTTCGTTTTCTATCTTTGCTTAGTCCGCATTTGCGTTTTTCACTTTTAGCATGTCCAAAATTGCTACTGCGCGATAGAGTAGATTAAAAGAGTTGGAGCTATCACGTTTTAGTAATAGATAACAAGCTTTGATTACAAGTATGAATAAAAGTGAAACCTCCAATTGCCGAATTAAAATTTTAAATGCAATTAAGCATCTGGTTCATTTGCGGATTTTTGTTTTGAAACAGATTATGCATTATTTTGTTTCATGAAGGTTATAATTTATTGTTTTAAACCGTATTATAAATAAACATTACGGACTTTTACAATGTTAAGATATGTAAACAGTTTTAGACAATTATTTATGCCCGTATTTAAGAGGCTAGGAATGTAGTAGCTAGCTACACTAGCAATTTTCCGGTTGATCAGTCCTCGATAATTCCAAAATTGTTTTTACCATTTGTTACAAAGAAAAACCTTGATTTAAATTCTCTTTTTTGTAAAACAAGAAATCACGTGCTTAATAAGGTGATTTGTGACTAAATAAATGGATATTAAATTTCCGGACTTWTCAATAAAAATAATTAAAATTGTCATGTTTAAWGCTTCATTACTTCATTTTCTGTTAATTAACATTTTACTAGTTCTTTATGGTTTATTTGCGTTGATCAAGTTACATGTAAATTTTAATTTAATTGTTCTGACGTCAAATCAAACGTCACAGGTTTTTAGTTTGGAATTTTGGACAACCTATTTACATATCATTCTACTTCTGAGAATCTCCTTGAATTGTAGTTTCACTTTTATTAAATTAAGGTTTTTCTAAGTTACAAAATTATTACAAAAGCTGAGTATGTAATAGGTGGAGACTTGATGAGTCATGAGTGATGCAAAATAAAAGTGTTAACCTAGTCTAGAGTTACATTTATTATTAAGTAACACAAATAATATTATCAAAATACTGTTAGTGGTACTAAGCCGTTTCTGTTGGGAGTATCACTTGTCAAAATCGTCTTCTATGCAGTTATTTCGACTAGTCCATGGCATGTCAACCGAAATTATCAAACCAATTCGAAGGTTTGGTTTAAAAATCACTTTCTAACGTTGTGCGAGGTTCTGGTTCGTGTTCTGAGGTGTCCGAGTCAACGACGGCGACCCGAGACGCACGTTGACCTTCAGAAGAATCCGATTTCCTTCTTCTCCGCTTTCGCCTAGGTCCACTTTTTTTCGCCACGTCTGTTAGACTGCCGTTAATGCTATGTTTGGAAGCAATGCTGTGTAAACTAGCCGATAGACTCGGATGCGACGAGTCGAGTCTTGGTAAGAGCAAAGCCTCGTTGTATGACGGTGGTCTTTGTAATTCCCGAGGGTCTGGTGCATTTCTACTTGCTTCTTCTCGAGCRTCKGCTTGCATGCGATGCATGCGACGCAAAGCTTCTCGTTCTTCGTTTCTTCTCGCTTCGTTTGCTTCACGAAGACGTTTCTCTTTTAATAAGTACATTCTCCTCATGGTGAGAATGACAAATAAAATGACGAAAACGGTTATTATCAAGCCGGTTGTGTACCACCAAACGGAGTCGCTGCGGGCTGTAGTGGGCTGCCAGTCTTTCTGACATGCTGACACCCATGAGTAGCCTTCAAGAGCCTCGGGGGATTGACAATACAAGTTGTCAAGTTTCTTGCCTGTTTTAGACAACCAGTCGTACAAATTCTTCAGTTTTGAACAATCACATCGCCAGGGATTGTCAGAAATGTTCAAAGAAACAACTTGAGCGAAACTCTCGGGGCTTGCAGACGTCAAACGATTCCCAGCTAAATTAATAGAACGCAGAGATGACATTAACGCAAATGTCTTGTTATTAACACTTTTAATCCTACAAAGACTTACATCCAAAACCTTTAAATTGTCACCACGAAAATTGTCCGGAAGAAGCGAAATAATATTCTTTGATAAATTTAGAATTTTCAATCGTGGCATATTAATCAAACAATCTTGATCAACAGAAGCTATTTCACAGAAACTCAGATCCAATATCTCCAAAAAGTCACTACTAAGATTTGGTACTGTGTTTAAGTAATTCCGGGATAAATTCAAGAATTGTAAATTTGTATTAGAATAAAACACTTCGGGGCTTAGGTAAGATAGAGTGTTTTGGGATAAATCCAACCGCTCGATTTTCTCAAGTCCAACAAAGGCTTCTTTTTCGATAACATGGAGAGCATTATATGATAAATCCAACATCACAAGATTAGTATAATTGACAAAGCTCATTTTTAGAATTATTCGAAAATGATTACCGTGAAAATTAGCCGCGTTAAGATTTGGGAGGTAACCACGTGGGATTGATTCAAGATTACAGTTTGAAATATCTAAATAGCGCAAACTGCGAGAGTCACAATAAAAACTCTTCAAATTAATATTTTGTTGCATGTAGAGAGTTTGCAACGAAGTTAAGTTTACGAAAACTTTCGGACTGACTTCTTTTAAATTACATCGACTTAAATCCAAAAATTTCAAACTTGTTGACGACAAACTCGAAAGCAACCATCTGATCGGGTTTTCTGACAGGTGTAGTTCTTTGAGTTTTGGTAATCCATCTAGAAGCTTGTTATTTAATAGTCCTATTGAACAATTTTTTAAACGTAAGATTTCTAACGACTGGATTTGTAACGGATTCTCTTCCCGGGGTTGCATCCGAAGAGTGTTATATGACAAATCCAAAAAGAGTAAATTTTGAGTTGATGAAAATGTGTATGGTCCAATATCGGTCCATTGTTTGATCATATTATGACTCAAGTCTAATCGTTCTAGTTTTCTTAATCTTCGAAAAGCACCATTTTCCAGTCGATCAATTTTATTAAACGAAAGGTTTAAGTACTCCAAACTTGGAAAGTCATTTAAGTCGTCAGGAAATACTTGAAACGCATTGTAGGACAAGTCCAGAATGGTCACCTGCAAAAACAACGTAATAATTCATCTAGTTTTTGTACAAGYAAAGTTGCAACACTTTATAAATTAGCAATTGCGACACTAATTGAATTTTTGACTCAAGCTCAACTTTTAGAAATTTCTGATTGTGATTAATAACGAAAACTGAATAAACAAAACAACCTATTTTCTCACCTAACTTGTTAATTGCTAGATGAAACATGTATCCTTGGTCTCAATTTCGCGAAAAATAAAATTTTGTAACAATTTTCCTTACTTGAATAAAATTCAGATTTGCATTCGCGTTATTCAAAAATAAAGGTAAACAAAATTTGCGTCATTTGTTGGGTTTTTAACTTTATAAAAGGTCGATTAGTGTCGGCTAATGTGTTTCTCTTAGTATAATAGTAGATAGCAAAACGTAAAAGTTTATACCTAATTATGTCATGACGTCTAATTTACTTAATTGTGTTATTAATGTTATTATTGCCATTTAAAATTTGTTTGAGCAAAACAAATTAATTGTTTATCTGAACCTATGTATCTAAAAATAGTTTCATTAATAAAAAAAGTAGTGATGTGGACTATTACTGGTGGTATTATTTATTCTGATAAWTGAACACTATTTTTCTTAGAGCAACAAAGTTGTAGTGACTATGACACAAATCGTTATCACATTTTCATTTGGTTGATTTATTTTTATGTTGTGAACGTTTAAAAGTTGCCAATCGTGCTAGATCAGCCATCTAGTGGTAAATCCTCGTAATTATGGTCAGATTATAGTGAACAGATAACTTTTACTTGAATTGTATTTATTTAAAAATCGTACTTACATTTTTATCAAGTCCGAAAGGTAAAGTCGAAAAATTATTATATTTGCAGTCCGTGAAGTCCGGTGGACATATGCATAACTTTGGACATGAGTAGAAATTACCGGTTACCGATGTGAAAAATATAATGTAAAACACTGCACCCTTCAGCGTCATACTAGATAAAATAAAAATTGGATTAGAGCTATATTTACACTAGGCAATCTTTTACATACACTGAGCGTTTCTATTAATCATTTATATACATTATTTTTGTTATAAAATAATATAACACTACACCATTGTGGTATGTCTACTGTACAGGTGGATGAAGGTTGGTTGTATCGTCATATCTGAACTGAGTCAACAACGATTACATTGATAACAAATTGTTTTCCAGATAAGGGAAAAGATACTTTTAAACCTAATTATGCTCAAAATGTTGTGAAAGCATCCTACCATCTATTTTAATCTACAAAAAATGCGAATTCTTGTCAAAAATGTGTCATTTTGTCAACCTTTTAATAGTATTTTCAATATAACTAGATATAAGTGCACAAACCGGTTATTTTTATTTGTGTTCAGTAAACGTTATTATCTCTTGATTTATATCAGTTTATCAGAAATATGATGGCTAAACATGAACTCGATATATTCACCTGTACCTACAAAGTAAACCATTTCCAGGCGAGTTTGCGCTGCAAATCTTTTAATTCATAAAAAGTAATAATTAAGGCTCGGATTATATGCAAAACGCGTATTTGTTATTAAGAGGTATATCAACAAAATTATAAGTTTTCTATGCATATCTAATGTTTTTTGATTAAATAGACCAATTAAAAAGTGCATATTTTGGCAACTTCGTGCATATTTTAGGAAATATTGCATATTTTCTTCAAATCACAAATTTCTGATTAAAAATTTCAGTTTAAGTTAAAAATTAGACAGTTTAAGAAAAAAGATCCGGTAATTCGTAAGCCGGACTCAAAAAATTATATCTTGCTGAGTGTTTCCTTTTTGATTTCGTTTTATACAGGGTGAATATAAAGTATGGAACTTAGCGTTTTTTTTAAATCATTTGCCTCTAGAAAATAATACTTAATATAAATTAAACTAATATAAAAATGTAATCGTATTTTGAGAAAAAATTTTTTTGTTTGTTTGTTTTTTTTTGTCAAAATTGCAATATATGTAAAAATACTAAAAAAAAATGAATATAAAGTAGATAGTTGCAATTTTTAGATCATAACCTTAATGAAAAAAACGTTTTTTAGTGGGTTGTCATTAAAAAAAATATTTTTGTAGAACTTAAAAACAAATGAAGATTTTGAAAAATTTTATTTTTGATAAAACATCACATTTTGGAAAAAAGTTTTGACAACAGATAAAATTTATAATTTTTTTTAATATAAATTGTAACATTTTCAATAAATATTTTTGCACATTTATAAAAGGCATAAACATATCTTTGTAAAACACTAAATGAAAAACGTTTTAATTTAAGAAAAAAATAATTACTACGGTAATCTCAAAAGTTTAAACAATTAATTAAAATAAAAAATATTTTGGCATTGCTCCTTTTAAACATTTATTATTTATTGGTAGATTTACATTAAAAAAAATGTTACTATGTTTATCTCGTAAGTATAATCAATTAATTAATATTCAATTTTTTTGAATAGCATTTTATAGCCCTTGCACACCTATAAATTTATTTGCCAAAAAATTGATACTTTCGCCAGAATAAAATCGTTTCCAGACTTTTGGACCTGTATATTGAAGCATACTTTTTAATCCTTTCCGTCTTTTATTGAAATTTTTCTTAAAAAAATGTATCGACGAGAGCTCAGTGCTACAATTTGAACTCGAAGAAATAGCGTCGAACATCACTGACGCAATTAGCAGATTATCTTGCCAGAAGCAATTTGAAATATAGAGGAAAGGTTTAATATCATAAAAAAAAAATAAAATGCTTTCCGAAACTTCAAATAAAAGTGTACTCTTTCAAACAATATCAGACTAAATCAGATAGGAAACTTGGTAGGTGTCATAAATGTCCTAGGGCAATCATATCATGCGACCAATGCAACAAAAGCGACAAATTATAACGTGTTCCAACTGCTTACTAGTATAAATTTTTATACCCGAAAATTATTTTCTGTATAGTATTCCTATTCATGTGTATTTATTTAGATTTTAGTTTTGCATACGTGTAAATGTGTTGTTTTTTTATTCTTCTTTGTTAAATTGTATTTAAGTAGAATTTAAACAAGCCATAAAAGTTTTTTTTATTTGTTAAATAACGATCTGCTTTTTATTAACTTAAAAAAATAAAAATTCAAATGGGGTCCCTAGAACCCCCGCATGGGCATTTACGTTTGTTTCTAAGGTATGAGCATCTAAGGGTGTAATATCTTGTGCATATTTTTTTGAAAAACATTAATAAATCGCGACTTCTAATTTATTAAAACTGGCGATATTTCATATACCTAACTAATTATTGATAGGGTATAATTTGAGAATTTTTCTAATATTTTTTGATAATAAATGAGTCCGTAACAGTTTTGTGTGTTTTATGAATACTTTCTGTTAATTTACATAGAAAGTTTTTACTCTAAATGAATTTGTACTTATTAGCGCATCAAACTTTGATATCACAATTTTAAATTTTGACTTGGTGAGCCAAATAATCGCTTTTTTTATTTAAACACAAACCAGACCTATGATTTATGACAAAATGGTATAATTTGCCAACAAAAGAATCGTTTACTGGTAGCCGACCGCTTTAAAAGGTCTGTTAGTTGTAAACCTTGGAATCTTACTCCAATTGCAATTCCCCATTGTCACCTAAATTTACGATGGCACAAGTAGCAGGTCATAAATAAAAATGATTTTCAAAGTTAAGATGGAAAATTGCGTTTAATTCAAAATCTAATTGGTATTTTTTTTCTGATTTTGTAAACAATTGTAGGAAGTGAATCTGCGTAGGTCAGTATAAAAATTAGAACTTTTTTGGAGAAAATTGCTTGTTTTTTTGGCTTTGTTTGTAAAAAATTACCAAAAAATTAAAGAATGTACCTCTTACTAATACCCAAAATTCAACAATTTTATTTAATTAGAAGTGGTGATTCTCTTTCTGGGTGTAACAGATGCCGCACCCGGTATATGCGCATATTTTACGAATTTTTCGTGCATATAATCCGAGCCTTAGTAATAATTAATAAAAAAATTCGAGTTTCGAAGTTTTGTCATGGTGGTGGGTTTAAAGTTGAGATTGGAAATTAGTGGTTAATTTTGATTAAAGATGGGGTGGATGAATCGGTGCGTGAAGGGATTTTTTAGATTTATTGTTGGAGGAGTTTGTAATGTATTGGGAGCAATTTGCAGTATTTCAGAATCAGCAAATTTAAATTCTTAAAATCCTATATTGACCGTAGCTAAATCTCGGACCTTTTCTTAATGCCGGAGTCAGTCAGTCAGCCGGATAATACAGCAATTCAATTTTCATTACTAGCCCGATCCAATATGGTTTATTAGGATCGTATCTTGGCATAGCTGTAAGAGTACTGAATATTTTAGTGCCGTTATAGGATTCTGGATAAGAGAAAGAAGTTGGTTGGTTTGTTGTATYACAAAATGGACGTAGGTAATCTTGGTCCACTTAAGAATATTGTTTCATTCAGTGGTCTAATACTTATGTGTATTTTGATCCATGCCCGCCCCTGGGAGCCTCTTAAGCGAACGTCGTCAGAGCGGGTGCACGTGTAATCTCTTGTTTCGATACGGCTTTATCTCGAGCCTGATCTGTCGTAGTGGAGTGGGATGTCGCGGATGACAAGTGGAGTGGCTTTCAAATGATTTCAATCGAACCGCAAACAACCGGGAAAGGCGGCTGAGGGCTGAGGGCTGAGGGCTGAGGGGGCATTATCTTTGTCCAAAAGGCCAAGTCTCATCTCTTTCAGGTGAGGAAGTAACGATCCCGCTAATTGGTATCGTCATCGTTTGTGTGGTCATTCAAGAAGTTGACTTAGAAGGAATTAATATTGGTGCCTCAATACATCTTAAGGTCCACCAAAGAGAACTACGCTTTCAACTAATTATAACCGACAAAGTCTAAACCATATCGAGTAACGTCCGGATACTTAGAAGTTGCGGCAAAGGAGTTGGGGGTGCCTATCTGACCACATACACACCACTTTCAGCAGCGCGTCGAGCATAAAATAACCCTTAATGGCCAATTACATGTCTTTAGAGCGGCGATCGGGCACACTAGCACAGCGACGGTTTCGTGAAATTAATCTTTTCCGCAGTGCTGATCCTGAGCCGGGCCTCCCTATCTAACCTGTTGCACAGCTCATCCAAATTTAAAACCACTGAGGAGTTACTTACTGGTCCTTGGTCCCGTTATCACTTCTTTTTTTTTTTTTGATACTAGTGTTATTTTAATTTGCAATCAATAAAGAGACGCTTCGGTAAAGTTAGGCGATCGTTTTTCGCGCCCGTCTGTCGTCTCAGCTGCTCACCGGGGACACGCCAAACTCTAAGCCCGGCTTACTACTTACGGCCCCAGCTTCACACTTGATCATATTTATGCGATGTCCGGATTATCGGTAGCTGACTACCTCTTACACTTCCAAGACGCCTTATATCGATTTATGGGACATCTAGTACTTAAGCGTTTCTATAAATCCTCATTAGACAGTAATTAGTTTTATTAGTGACGGTAGAAGCTTTGAGGTTTGAGGGAAAAAGACTGGCGAGGGTATGATAGAGGAGATTAAGGGTGACAATGAGTTGGGATATGCTGATCGTGTTGATGAACGATTATTGAGTTAAATAAACAGTCCACGAGAGAAACTCGTAACTTATAAATATCTATCCTGTTTTCCTTACAGGACTTAGTGATGATATATAGCGGTGTAGCTATAAGGATTATACACCTACTCCTTTCTTCATAAGTTCGCGAGCGCGTGTCTCTCTCCGGCGCGCATAACTCGGTATCGTCGGGTGTTACGGATATCTTAATAAGATTCATGAAAGGACGCCATATTTTATATCCTCCCTATCTAACGTAATGCTGCATGAGCCATTCTACGTAGCCAGCCGAGGCCGACTGCCCCGTCGGAACGCTCAGATAAGCTCAACACAGCACTGCTCACAGCTCACGGCTCTCTATCTAATGATGCCTTTTACTAGGTGGTAGCGATTTCGTCTAGATATATCATAATAATTCCTAGCTAACTGCAACGGCGTTCAGCGTTCGCGCGCTGCTGTGCAAGCCAACAATATAATTCCAAGAACGCCGTAAATCTCAACTTTTAGGAGTGCGCGGCTCGCTAAAGAGAGAAGAGCGGGAAA